CTATAGAGAACTTCTCTTTAGCTCGATCGGTTGAGCGTAAGACTAGCAAGCCAGAGGTCCAGGGTTCGATTCCTATCGGAGGCAGTGATTTATATTTAATTAATCATGCTCTCTGTTTCATACACAAAAGTGTTATTTCCCTATATAAACTATAGTAAACTTTACCCCCTCCCAAAGGGGGAACGGATGGCTCAGGGGTCCTGGAATTGACAATTTCAACAAGAGGCCCAGAGGGCCTGTATCGCTCACCTGGATACCTAAGCAATCATGGCAAACTATTCTCCAAATGAGATCAAGGGAATATGCCAGAACCCAAGGCCAATCCTTGTAGCATAGCTATATTAGATTGTTCATGCCCAGCAATTTTATGTATGGTTATGGGGTGGGGATCTCAACTGTTTCCAAGCTTTGCCCCAGAAACTAGGTCCCTAGAGTTGTGGCCAGCCCCCATGATCGATTATAATATCGTGACTGCATTTGTCTCTTTTTGCCAAGCATTTGTATATATAGTTTTGGGGTGGGGATCTCAACCGTTTCAAAGTTATCACCCAGGGGCCAAGTCTGCAAGGGTGGGGCAGCCCCTGGGATCAATTCTAATATCATGACTGCATTCGTCTCTTTATGCCCAGCATTTGTATATAGTTTTGGGGTGGGGATCGCAACCGTTTTGAAGTTATGGCCCAGGGACTATGTCTCCAAGGGTGGGGCCAGACCCTAGGGACATCCTGGAAGCAAATGTGCATTCTTCTCTTTATACTCAGCAATTGCATACATGGTTATATGGTGGGGATCTCAACCATTTCCAAGAAATTCATTTTATTGGCCCCACCCCTTAGTCCGGGGGGTCAGCCCCACCATTTGTACAATTTTGAATCATTGCCTCCCAGGAATGCTTTTGATCAGATATGATTGATATCCAGTGTACAGTTCTACAGAAGAAGTTGTTTGTAGCAATATAGCCAAATTGCCCCCTTTTGACCCGTCAGCCCCACCATTTGTACAATTTTTAATCACCACCACCTAGGGATGCTTCCAGTCAAATATGGTTGATATCCACTTCTTAGTTCCAGAGAAGAAGTCGCTTAAAGCAATATGGGCAAATTGACCCCTTTTGGCCCCACCCCTTAGCCCGGGGGGTCAGCCCCACCTTTTGTACAATTTTGAATCATTGCCTCCCATGAATACTTCGGACCAAATATGATCAATATCCATGGCATAGTTCTGCAGAAGAAGTCGTTTATAGCAATATAACCAAATTGCCCCCTTTTGGCCCTGCCCCTCAGCCCCCTGGGGGGTCAGCCACACCATTTGTACAATTTTAAATCCCTGCCTCCCAGGAATGCTTTTGATCAGATATGATTGATATCCAGTGTACAGTTCTACAGAAGAAGTTGTTTGTAGCAATATAGCCAAATTGCCCCCTTTTGACCCCGCCCCTTAGCCCCCTGGGAGGTCAGCCCCACCATTTGTACAATTTTTAATCACCACCACCTAGGGATGCTGTCAGTCAAATATGGTTGATATCCACTTCTTAGTTCCAGAGAACAAGTCGCTTAAAGCAATATGGGCAAATTGACCCCTTTTGGCCCCACCCCTCAGCCCCCTGGGGGATCAGCCAGACCATTTGTACAAATTTGAATCCCCACCACCTAGGGATGCTTCCAGTCAAATTTGGTTTAATTCCACCCAGTGGTTAAGAAGAAGAAGTTGTTTAAAGAAATTGTTGACGTACGTACGGATGCCACAGTATGGCATAAGCTCCTGATGATCTTTCTATTTATGCACTGAAATTGACTGTAGTACCTTTGAGTCTGGAGAAGAGATTTTTGAAATATTGGTTAATATTCCCTTTAGGCCCCGCCCTGGCCCCTAGGGTTGGGGTAGGAATTCTTCCTCCAAGGATAATTCTCACCAAGTAAGAATAATTTCCTCCAGAAAATTGTCAAAATATACCCAAAAGTGTTGTTTCCCTATATAAACTATAGTAAACTTTACCCCCTCCCCAAGGGAGAACGGATAGCTTGGGGGTCCTGAAATTTACAATTTAATTAAAGCCCCTGATGATCTATTGGTTAATTTTCCCTTTGGGGCCCCACCCTGGCCCAGGGGATGGGGTAGGAATCCTAATTTTACAATTTTGTAGCCTTATCTATCTCTGGTTCTTGAGAAGAAGTTGAAAATGTAAAAAGTTTACGCACGACGGACGACGACGGACGGAAAGTGATCGGAATAGGTCACCTGAGCTTTTAAAAGCCATGTAAAAGTTCTAGTATTTCAGCACTGTGGCGAATAGAACCCACATTAATAATTAACACGGTTTACATGGCATCACTGAAACTCCTCTCTCTTCTAGAAGGATAAATAAGGATAAATATGCCAGACATTTGCAGGACTGTTAATCCCAGCATGCTAATACCTTTTTTTACAGCTGGGTGGACTGAAACAATCCAGCTTTATTAACTTGTTTTATGTCACATTTGCAGCAATGTACACTGGTTGTTAACTGTTTTCAGCATGGGTTGGTTAAAGACGACCATACAGTGAGTACCCGTGCCAACTGCATCACTGCTATGCAGCTACAAGTCTACCCACTTAACTGTACCAGCACTGGCGTTAACATGGACTGTGGACCTTTTTTCCAGCATTACAGAAATATCTGGTCCTTGGAAAATTGTTTGGTCCATGATTTCATTTGAGAACGTGTAAAATGGGACTTCCCCCCCCCCCCCCCCCCCCCTCGAGTTATATGTAAGAAGGATGCTATTTTGTACCTCAATAAATATCAAGAAAGAAGCTATAATATTAGCTATTTTCTACAAAGTTTCAAAATGTCAACATCCTGCACTAAAAAACCACAAGGGCCAAACCTTAAAACAGAGTGTAGGGAAGACAATCACCACAAATTAGATGGTCAAAGGTCTGGAGGTATCTACAGTCGTACTTTGTATCCTCTTAAGTGTTTGCGATCACTTCAATAATCACTTCAAGTTTGTTATTTCATACACTGACGTAGCTACCGTATCTGTGGTAATAGTTACCCATCATACAATGATGTAGCTACCGTATGTGTGGTAATAGTTACCCATCATACACTGACGTAGCTACCGTATCTGTGGTAATAGTTACCCATCATACACTGACATAGCTAACGTATGTGTGGTAATAGTTACCCATCATTCACTGACGTAGCTATCGTAGGTGTGGTAATAGTTACCCATCATACACTGACGTAACTACCGTATCTGTGGTAATAGTTACCCATCATACACTGACATAGCTACCGTATCTGTGGTAATAGTTACCCATCATACACTGACATAGCTACCGTATGTGTGGTAATAGTTACCCATCATACACTGAGGTAGCTACCATAAGTGTAGTAATAGTTACCCATCATACACTGACGTAGCTACCGTATGTTTGGTAATAGTTACCCATCATACACTGACGTAGCTATCGTATGTGTGGTAATAGTTACCCATCATACACTGACATAGCTACCGTATCTGTGGTAATAGTTACCCATCATACATTGACGTAGCTACCGTATGTGGTAACAGTTACCCATCATACACTGACATAGCTACCGTATCTGTGGTAATAGTTACCCATCATACACTGACATAGCTACCGTATCTGTGGTAGTAATTACCCATCATACACTGACATAGCTACCGTATCGGTGGTAGTAGTTACCCATCATACAATGACCTAGCTACCGTATGTGTGGTAACAATTACCCATCATACACTGACGTAGCTACCGATGTGTGGTAATAGGTACCCATCATACACTGACGTAGCTACCATAAGTGTGGTAATAGTTACCAATCATACACTGACGTAGCTACCGTATCTGTAGTAGTAGTTACCCATCATACACTGATGTAGCTACCATATCTGTGGTAATAGTTACCCATCATACACTGAGGTAGCTACCATAAGTGTAGTAATAGTTACCCATCATACACTGACGTAGCTACCGTATGTGTGGTAACAGTTACCCATCCCTGTTAGACATTTATCTAAATTGTGTAACAAAACAAGAGGTCCGGGGGCCTTAACAGCTCACAAGATAACAAGTTTTCGATTTATAATCTGCTCAATACTATACCAGTTTAGTAAAGGAGTACAAGACAGACCAAATCCCTATGGGTGGAAAAGACACTAAGAACATGAGTGTATTCTCCATGCCAAACAACGTTGTATATATAGGGCTCTTCAGGTATTGACTCTGCTACTTTGTCGACATATATATATTTGTGAAACAGGGACCTTTTGACTTCAAAACTTAAAGAGCCCTGTGAAGGATAAAAGCAGCTTGTTTTTTAGTCGGTCGTTAAATCTGATTTTTTCTATATTTACTTACTCCACATGGACATTTAATCCTTTTTTTTTTATTAATTATATATATATATATATAAAAATAAAAGACAAGAGTTTCTTCGACTTCCCTTATGGGTTATTGGGGGTGGGGGTCTCAACTGTTTCCATATTATTAGCAAGATTTAGTCCCCAGTTATCATGATTATGTGTGACTACTGAAGTATTTAAAATAAAGATTATTAGCCCATTTATCCCTGAAGTCACAATTGAACCTTACCAAATCAAAGACTGGGCAAGTCCAGTTCAGGAATGTAGGGGTGAATGAGTTAATGAGCACTTACCTTTTTGAAAATTGGGTCCCAAGCAGCCAATAGCATTCGTATTATACAGAAATAAAAGACCTTAAAATATTTCGGGTACTNAACATTGTAATACTTGTATTCTGATGTTTGTACTATTGAGTACACAAACAATGTAATACTTGTATTCTGATGTTTGTACCATTGAGTACACAAACATTGTAATACTTGTATTCTGATGTTTGTACTATTGAGTACACAAACAATGTAATACTTGTATTCTGATGTTTGTACCATTGAGTACACAAACATTGTAATACTTGTATTCTGATGTTTGTACTATTGAGTACATGAACATTGTAATACTTGTACTCACCAAAAGCATCTTCGTCCACTTCGCCCGAATAGTACTCGATGACCCTGCGGTACACAGCATAACCAAGCTTGTTGTACATCTCTACGGCGACCTTGTTAGACACCCGCACAAAGAGGTCGACGAAGTAGCAGTGTTTCCTGTAATCGACAGTACTTAACATCAAACGAACGCTCCCTTACAATCACACACACACATTAACATGTACTGTCCATCTCCGACATATATATAGGATCTTAAAGGAGTTTTCATTTCATATGAGATTTTATGAAACCAGTCTTAGGAGTTTTTATTTTTGTGAGCCTTGGCAAGCAAAAATTAAAACTTTGAGACGAGTTTCATAAAAGCTCATATGAAATGAAAACAAATTTAAGATATTTTGTATCACATAACTCAGAAAACTTACATTTTGGCAGGTTTTAAAGCCAAAATGTAGAAGGCTTAATCAAGCGGAGATAGCCATTTTGTTGCGCCATTCACAATTGATGACGTCACATCATTGTCCATATTATGACGTCACAATCAATTTCTGACTGGCACAGCCAATGAAAAACCCTCCAAGGTCTATTATTATAATTGTTTTTGCAAGAAATACATTCATCATGATGATCTGAAGTTGTTGTTTTTTTTTCCAAGAAATACATTCATCATTATAACCTGAAGTTTATTTATTTTTTCTCAAAATGTGTAAAACATTGTTCAAATAATATAAAATCATCAGAAAATGGAAACAAAAGTATGTATTTTTTGAAAATACCACAAACAACTCTTTTAGCTGTTATACAATTCATACAACCTGTCTCTGTACACTTACTTTTCTGAGATTTCCTCCAGTATGTTCATGAGTTTGCCGGCCAGACCGAGGCGCCTGTACTCCGGAGCTATGGTTAGAGCCGTCACATGACCATGCCACAGTTCTCCACCACCTTCTGCCTTTCCCATGACTACAAAAAATAAGTCAAAAGTCAAAACTACAACAAAATATATAAAATATAAACTATATTCATTTTACAACAATAATGAAACAAGATATGTAAACTTATATTAATCACTCTCGTTGGCCAGGATGTTAGCGTGCGGTGGGTCTCAATGTGGGAGGACACTGGGGTACCCGTAGAAAACCCACGTAGTCGGGCAGGTGACAATGGACCTTTTCACATCCGATCGGGGAATTGAACCCTGGATGCCTTTGGGAAAGGCGAGTGCGTTATCCACTACGCCACCTGACTCCAACACAATCAATATGTTCATAAAAGTTCTATCAATAATGACCACAGGTCACAAAATCTTTCTAATATTGATTTTTGTTTTTAAGTTTTGTAAACAGATACAGTACATGTCACAGAATTGCAATAAGCCAAATACATGTAAGCAGTTCACAGATATTGTATTCAGTCGTCAAAAATTTGCATCAAAATGTAGCTAGCGAAGTTCCAGTATTGAAGTCCACATTTGTAAATTCTCTCTTATTTCCAGCAGCAATTTCGGAATTTAAAGCACAAGATACAAATACGAATATCACATAATTTTTAACAATACTGGGTGTGCCTGCTATGGTTGTTAGGTCGGAGGTATATATAAGGTACTGGAAATGAAAACCACTTATTCCGGTCCTTGGGCTTTTAATCTTGATCAGCCTCGTACAAACTAGACTTTTGTTTCTTTATTTGTTCCAGCTTTACAACTTACCAAACTTATGGCGAGAGCATTAAGTGAGAGTAACCCCTGTGGTATCAAGGAGGCTTGTCAATTAATACTATATGAATTTTCAATCCAAAACAATTTGCATTACAAACCAAAATTTCGATTTTAGTTCATTCTTTGGATTAATAAGTCAGTAGTATTTTCATTTTTTGAGTAAAACACAGCTTTAAAGATTACAGGACCAACTTACCTTCTCCGAACATAGATAATATACCACTTTTTTAAGGACCCCTGTCCCGCTTCACTACGTTTTTTTGTATATACAGTAACCTCCCCTGAATATTATTCTGGTTGTTAACTGTAGCACAGTTGGGCAATGGAAGGACACTTCTGTTGACCAGGTAGCTCAGTCAGTCCGAATGACAGTATATCAATTTAAAATCCAGGGTTTGAACCCCGGTCTAGTCGCACTGAATTTTAACACTCGGAACACTGTAGTTGATTACATTTGATTATTTCACCTTTATTATATTTTCATAAAAGTCACGAAAGGTTTTCTTTTCAGAAATGACTGATCAAAACTATAGTCATGTCGAAAAAAAGGATTTCCAATATTTCCAATACACCCTTGTACGCGATTACAGTTGTTGTTGGTGGTGGTATGGGGACCCTTAAACAGACTGCATTTAATAAGGTCACGGTCTGATGAAAGTCCAAGTTTCATACAATTACTTATATGATCGGAGAATATCAATATTACACACCTATGTGTACTGTACAGTATACAGGCAGTGGTTAAATCTGTGGCTAAAAACACAAATTCCTGATTGAAAGAAACTGACTATTAAATACATGTGGTGAAATGAATGCTGAGCTATAACAGGACTCCTGACGGAAGAAGAAGTGANCCCCCCCCCCCCCCCCCCCAAAAAAAATTCGGTGAGTGCAATTAAGACGTCTCTGGATTCTATTAACACAGAAACACAAATTACGTGTAATATATGGTCGGAAATGCTACAAGACATTGCGTCACCAATCAGTAATTTTTTTGTTTGTGGTTTTTCCTAAGTCTACTGTGGAAAAAAGTTTTATTGAGTTTGAATCACATCCAACCTGTCACAGTAACACTAACAAAAGTCCCCTACACTTGTTACCCCGTACTGTCTGGCCGTAGTGATACCGCCACAGGCCATACTTTCCTGACAATGGATGACACCTGATGGACACCATGAAAACAAGTGCCGTTCATCGTCGTCCTTTCCTACAACTTTTGTATTAAACTACAAACATCCTACTCTAATTTCTTATTCTTGATGGCAAGAAACATATTGCTTCAGTTTCAAAAGTGCAGTGAATGTTATCTGACTAGATGTACCTGTTTTTTTACACGTCTGTCTGTCTGTCTGGTGAATACAATCTACAATGCCAAACATCAGAATGCATAATCAAAATGGAAGGTACGTAAGATGCATCAGTCAATAAAAGAATTGCATAGAAACCTTAATTATGTCTCGTATAGATAAAATGCACATTATCAGCCAACATTGGCAGACGACAAAAAATATACTAGTTTTTTAATTTTATTGGGCAATACCCATGTAACCTAATCTTGAAAATCTGGAAACTATGATGAATTTCACGGGTCAGTGTACGACATTTTAGCTAATATTCCACGCTGACAGACGGCTCGGATTGATAATCGCTATCCGACATCATATCTTAAATGCTGAATGTCACTTTTTCAAACAGACAAGATACAGCAGATAGTGGCATTCATCATTGGGCCTATTTTCTGCTGGAATACCTCACAATTACCCTTAATCATTATACCTATCTAGTCATCTTTTGCGTGGGGGAGCCGGATGATGAATTGGTTTCAGTGAGAAAAACCCAGAACGGGCTGTTGCTGTGGTTTATGAGATTATGAAAACTTTCTAACTGAACTCGAGGATAGAATTTAATGTCCAACAAATTACAAAACGTTTAAGACATTAAACGCTGAATGCAGTGCTTTACAAAATTATATTAAATTGAGATAGATATACATAGTCAACACTTAAATACTTTTTGATGAGCCCTGTGAAGGTTGAAAGCTGCTAGTTTTAAGTCAGTTTTCTATATACATGTACATGTATAGTAAAACCAATATATTGGCCCTTGGTTTAATTAGCCATCTCCCTTTTAAAGCTTGCCACCAACACATTTCAAGGTCCTGTTTTCCTTTCCTTTTTCTTGATGTGTCTTGATGTATTGCTAATCCCCTTTTTGACAAAAAAAACTTATCAAACTGTTTGCAGTATAACAAGGTTTTGACAACAAAATCATATAAATGGATTTAATAGGGCTAGACAATAAGGGTAGCCCGCTAGTTTGAGACAAGTGAAATCTCCAGCTGGACTAGTGCTTCTAAAAACTGCTAGCTTGATTGACTAATCAAAATTTGCTTATACTTTGTTGAATAATATTGGGTTAGCGGAATTTTCACACGGACAAGGAAAAATCAGAAACTACTACACATCCTAACTGACTATATATTGTTATTCAAAGTTTTTTTCTAGCTTTGTTTACTAAAGTGCTAATTGATTTGTTATTTTTTCGATTGAAAGATTATTGTAATCAATTTCATAATGTAAATATGCACAGCCAATGACTCTACATCAGATCATGCATGTGACACTGTGGAGAACTTGATCATGTGATGGCCTTTCTAACTCCTAATTAAGGATCCCTGTCCCACTGCACTGAGGTTTTTCCTATATACAGTAATCTCCCTTTAACTTCCTTAAGGACTCCTGTCCCACTGCACTGAGGTTTTTCCTATATACAGTGACCCCCCTTTAACTTCCTTAAGGACTCCTGTCCCACTGCACTGAGGTTTTTCCTATATACAGTAACCTCCCATTAACTTCCTCAAGGATCCCTGTTCCACTGCACTGAGGTTTTTCCTATATACAGTAACTTCCCTTTAACTTCAATATGGATATAAATGTAGCACAGCAGGGCCAGGACACTTCTGTTGACTAGAAAGCCCAATCGGTTTATGCAATCTGAAGTTCGGGGTTCGAATCCCAGTCTAGCACCGATGATTTTTTTCACTCAAAACACTGCTGATTTTATTTTGTTCATTTCATCTTTATTATTTCTTATAAAGGGTATGGCTTTCTGTTCAGAAATGACTTATCAAAGCTGTATGAAGTCATGTCAGAAAAGAAAGTTTCTAATGATCAGTTACACTTTTTGGCAGTGGTACAGAGATCCCTATGGTAGGGAGCAGTATCTGAACTGAAAGACCTATGTCTCCTCACACTACATCACAGGAGGACTGTTCTATCAGGAATGGGTCACAATAGATTGACTTCATGCGATGTCAGTGGAACATGTACAATTTAAATGAAATACGACTTCAGTTTTCAGTTTATTATTGAAGACCGTGTTTCAAACAAGTGTGTGATACAGTAGAACGCTAGACAGTGTGTCATTATATATGATTGGAATCTCAACTTACAGAACAAATCATGGTCCATTTACTTTCAATATTTTGCCATCACAATTACCGCCAAATATGGGGGGAAATATTAGTATGAAAGGTGTCTATGAAGATGGACAATGAAGGAAAGACTGCAAGGTAGGAAGTTGATATTTTGTTTATTCCCATATTATCACTTAGGGATATATGCTACCTTCAAGTTATTATACGTGAGATTTACGTGAGAGCTACATCTCTTACATAAAAATGACAAACCATTTTCTAATCATCTAAAATTGCCCGAAAGTTGTGAACACATGCATTCTTGTGTAACTTGCTAATGTGTCATCAATTCCAGTGTGCCTTTCAAATGTGTCATCAATTCTTGTGTACCTTTCAAACATGTCATCAATTAATTCTTGTGTAGTGTTACATATGTAAATATGTCCTTTGATAACTTACCACATCCAAATTACCATTTATAAAAGATATTTCATAGGTTTCTAGCGTGAATCATTTTCTAGAAGTTGAAGATGATGCATGTTAAAGCGAGATATTTTATAAAATAAAACATGTAGGATATTGGCAACTTAGATACCTCAAAAACAAAACACTTCATTATAATGTACATTGTATAATTGTTAATTCAAATTTAAAGCACGTAATATCTTTGGATGCCACAAAACCTTACAGTTACAGATATATTCATCAGATTAGCTTTTGAAAAGCCCTGCCACACATTAAGAAGCCACGTTCTTTAAACATATAATTATTCTATTTATATGAACAGTTTATGGTAGACCCTGTCAGAAGATTAAAAAGTTAAGGTATTTA